CCTTCCTTTCCACTCTGTCTAAAAAAAAATCAATGGAAAAAATATCCTCGGGTGAGGATTAACAACAACAAAAATTTCACCATGGCTCTCTGCCATTTGGACTCTCAAGCATATCTGTGCCATCCCATGGACGGTAGGCACCAGAAGCACCTGGCCCAGGAACCCCTTCTGAGCCTGGGGAGGAGCCCCAGGATGACTCCTGGTGGGGATGGACAGTGGATCAAGCCTTTACAGGGAAAAAACTGGCTATTCATTTGGTGCAGGAGGGTGAACACATCAGAGTTCCTACCCAAACCTGGGGGACTGAGTCCTTTTTAGGGAAAAGATATCTCAGGAGGGGTCCCATGAATGAAGGTGAGGGTGCCTTCTGTGCGGAGCAGCAGTGCTTGATATGGAGGGAAGTTAGGAACCTCATCTGCCTCCTGGTTGATACAGTAGTGCATCCCAGGCCTTTAGGCTGATCTGCTCTAAAAATACGTGTTGAGCTCAAATTGTGGCATTGTGCAGAGCACAGGCCTAGTGAGCTTAACTGGGGAGCTCCAGTCTCCTCAGCCCTCTGGTCACATTCTCAGCCTCTTTGGCTCACCTGGCCTTGGTTCACACCATTCCTGCTTTTGTAGGAGTGAAGGGACGCAGCTAGGATCATCTGCATCTAAGAAAAGTCACTGAGTTTCAGCCTGGAGGCTCAACTCGAACACCAAGTTCTGTGTCTGCTTGGGAAAGTCTGACTTGCTGCTGTCCAATGTGTCTCTCCTCGACTCTGGGTGCTGGCGCTGGGCGGGTATAGCCCACAGACACAGGCTCCACCGTCTCCTCCCTCTGCTTTCTGTTCTTTCTTCCTCCTCTCCCTGGCCTTTCTCTTCCCCTTTCAGAGCCTGGCCTTTGGCATTTTCCTGGGTCCTCACGGTCCCATGAGTGCAGCTTGGGGACCAGTGACCCCTCCGGGACCTCTGTGGAGAGTCGCAAGCCTCCAGCTGAGTTTGTACCAAAGTCAGAATTTGATGGTGCTATTTAAATCTAGAATGTGTAAAAGTACTCCTGTAATAAATAACTTTAAGAAATTTAGTGGCTCTTATATGCATAAGCTATGGACACAGACATTGGTATGGGGAAGGCCTGGGGGTGGGGTGAATGAGGGGTGGAGGGGGTTGATGGGGAAATAAAGGGGACATCTGTAATACTTTCAACAATAAAGATAATTTTTTTTTTAATTA